CTGTACCATTTTTATTCTGAGTTTTGCCTTTTTCCCCCCTTCTTAGATTTCTAGAACTTATACTGTTGTATTAACTATACTTGTATGGAAAGAAAAGAAAGTTATTTACTAAGAAAAAAATAAAAACCTACAATGTCCTCTGTCCTAACCTTGTCGCATATACATTCTTGGTTGATCTTCTCTGTAAGGCTATGAAGTAGATACTCTGTTTAGAAATAAAGAAACTGAGGCTCTGGAAGGGTAATTTGCCAAAGATCTGTTAGCCAGTCAGCAGGTGGTATTGAAATTTAAGTACAGACACTCTAATTCTGCTTTTCTTGTCATTGCACTAGGTCTTTTGTGCGATAAGCATCTTTTAAAAGTATTTTTAGGGGGCTGGAGAGATGGCTCAGAAGAGCACTGAATGTCAGTTCCCAGCACCTACATGGTGGCTAACAGCTGTCCATAACTCCATTTCCAGGGGATTTGACACCCTCTTCTCACCTCTGTGGGCATTGCACACATGGGTGCACTTACATACATGGAAGCAATACACTCATAAAATAAAAATAAAATATTTAAAAAATTTAAATGTTTTTATATAGATTATTACACCTAGTCTTTTAAGCATCCTTAAAGTGTTTTTGTATGTATTATCTAATGTAAATATGTTTTAAGAAATATTTGATGCACTATTAGTTTTAGAGCTTTGTTTTCCTATAGCTAATTTTGACTTTTTATTTGGGATAATCATTTGATGTTTGGGCACTGCATGGTTGCTGAGACAAGAAAGTAGCTGGCTACTTTTTTAAATGTATGGTAGATTTATGAATCTTGGAGGCTGACATTTTCATAGTGTTAGCAGTCTTGCCTTTGGCTTGAGGTATAGTAATTTGTGTAGTGGTATGTTAGGAACAGAATGGAATTCTAGAACAGTAGATATTATTTCTTTTTAAAAATTTATTATTTTTATTTTATGTTTATGAGCCTGTACATATGTAAGTAAACCTGTGTTGTGCAGTGCCCACAGAGATCAGAAGAGGGTGATGGATCCCCTGGAACTGGTGTTACAGTTGGCTGTTAGCTGCCATGTGGGTGCTGGGAACTGAACCAGGGTCCTTTGCAAGAGCTACCAGTGCTCTTAACCACTGAGGTATCGCTCCTTGTTATTAATTTCTTATGTCTTAATTCAGATCTTGACCCTGACTCATTTAAATGTAAAGTTTATATATAAAGAATACAGATAATTTGCCAAATGAAAGAAGTTCTTATTTCAAACTGAAAATTAAAATCATTCAAATTCCTTATACGATTAAGCATCAACTCTTGACATATTTATTTACGTGCATTTCTAATATAACTGGTTTTTATGATGTGATAATGTGGTTTGGTTATGTTGTTTTCATAATCTTTTTCTGACACCTATGGTTAAGGAGTAAGATTTAGAGGAAAATGTTTCATGGATCAAGGGCAAGGCTTATAGGTTTGATTATATAATCAATAGTTAACACTGTTTTCTTGTTTCATAACCATAGTTTTCCCCTTGGTAATCCCATCATGCAAATGACACTAGTTACAACTGAAAATCCTGTTGATCAGCTTTGAACTTCTCAGTGTGTAAGGAATTTGAAGGAGGTTGATTTAGTTATGGCAAGAGACTACCAGTGCCCAAATAAATACCACTTCTGCTCCATTACTAAAAATGGTTGTAGACTGACAAACTGGGGGTGTTCTTAGCAATAGAATTTGGATATACTATGGCCATAGACTAATAGTAGAAGAAAATTTGAATATGATGTGGATGACAACTAAGGATGTTCTTGGAATTGAGGCAGTTTCTCTGTTGAATTATTAATGATAACAGAATTTTAGGATATGAGCACAGCCTATAAAAGGTGATAAAGTTAGACATAAAATCCAGACTTCATAAACTCTGGAGGTGGAAGCAGTAGTATCAGAAGTTCAAGGTCATCTGGCTTCATATCAAGCTTGAAGAGTAAAAAAGAAAAAACCTCAGACTTCCTATTTCTCTATGTTAATTCTTTGTGTAACATTAGGTATGCAGTGTATTACATTTTTGAAAACTAAAAAAGATGAGGAAGACTTATTTTGCGAAGAGAACTTGAACCAATCCATTTAATAGATAGCGATGTGGAAAACAGTTCAGTGGGTAAAGATACTTGCCATACAAGCCTGGTGACCTGAGTTTGATCTTCAGAACCCATGTTAATGTGGAAGGAGAGAACTGACTTCATGAAGTTGTCTTCTGGCCTCCACTTGAGTGCCTTGGCACATGCACCCCATCCCCTCACATGTAAAACACATAGATAAAAATAATACAAAATTTAAAAATTCTCACCGTTGACTAGTTTTATAAATTATTAAGCCTTTTTTCACTCATACATGTATTTTATATATTTTTTGAATGCTTATAATGTGCCAGGTCCTCTTTGCTTTTAAGGAATATAGAAGTAAACAAAATAGACCCAATTCTCACTCCAGTGGAATACTATTTGAATGGAGAAAGACAAAAATACTTAAATATGTCTTGTGTTATGTAATGAAAAATGAATCATGATAGGAAGGATAGTTCAGTGAGGAGTGGACTTTCAGGAAATGTTTTCTGATGAAGTAGCTTCTGACATAGTCCTAAAGGATTGAGCCTCCCTTTCTCCTTCCCTCCTTTCTCTGCTGGGGATTGAATGTAGGCCCTCATGCTTGCAAGGCAAGTGTTCTACCACTGAGCTGTAATCCCACCCATTTTCATGCATTTTATTTTGAGACAGAATCTGGGTCTCAATTTCCCAGGCAGACCATAAATTTTTGCGATCCTCCTGCCTTAGCCTCCTTAGTTAGTAATTGGGATTACAGGCCTGCATGACCAAACCTGGTCTAAATGATGTTTTGTTTTGTTTTGTTTTGTTTTGTTCTTTGGTCTTTTTTGAAACAGGGTCTTCCTGTAGCTCTAGCTGGCCAGGAACTCGCTATATAGATCAGGCTGGCCTTGGACTCACAGAGATCCACCTGCCTCTGCCTCCCAGAGTGCTGGGACTAAAGGCATGCACCACCATGCCCAGGTCTAAATGATGTTTTTAAAACACAGATTAAAGACATTAAAGAGCTTGGGTCTGATGAATGGTGGTGAGGCTGTAAGTGCTAGTTGCAGTTTTCTGCTGATAACAGAAGGATGCAGTGACAGCACAGATGGAATATCATGTTCATATAACTAAGCATTAGGACAGATACTGTGAGATAGCTGTCCACTGTCAAAGGACTTACATAGGAAGCTAGAGTTTGGGAAAGATAACTTCAGCTTGAATTTTGACACAGAATTAGCGATTTGAGTTGAGCTGCTATGGTCTGAGAATTTTCGTTTGCCAGGGAAAAAAAAAAAAAAAAAAAAAAAAGAAAGAAAGAAAATTACATATGACTCCCCACAATTAGTTTTAGCAATCAGAGAATTTAATTAAATAAAGTTACAAAGTTGTCTTGTGGGAGATTAAAACATTTCTGTGGGGTGAATATTGTAGCGAAACTGTAGATTTTAAATAGCAGGATATGAGGCTTAGTTTTTCATTTTTGTTTTTTGTTTTGTTTTTTTAATCTTTCTGAGACAGGGTCTCCCTGTAGCCCCAGCTGTCCTGGAACTCACTATAGTAGACCAGGCTGGCCTTGAACTCACAGAGATCCGCCTGCCTCTACCTCCTGGGTGCTGAGATTAAAGGCATGCGCCACCACACCCAGCTAGTTTTTAAATAACAGTGTATCAGATGTTTTAGAGTAGAGGAACAACATAGCCAACATGATCATTTAGTAAATTAACTTTGATTGAATCTTGTCTGGATTCATTTTTTGTGTCTTTTATGTCCTTGAAAGAATATCTACAGAGCATACCATGTAAACTGTTATTAAGTTTCACACTAGTTCCAGAAAGTTATAAGGTTTAATGATTAATGTACTCACAGAGGAGAAAAATAAAATACCAGAATTTGGAGTGCTAAAAAGTGAATAATATTGAGTAGTCCTAAACTAATAACTCATTTCAGTGTGAAGTAAATTGCAATGTATATAGTTGGTCTTGACGATAGGAAGCATGATTTATCACTTTTTTGAATGTGGTACCTAGCATGGTAAATGAATGGTATGAAACTGGATGTGGGAACACATTTTGAAAAGGAGAAGCAAAAGTTGAGGAATAAGGTCCATGTGTTTCTGACCCAGATGATGTTAATGGGAAAAGGACTAGATGACAGAACATTATTATATAGGTGAAAAATAATCAGAACTTAATAACTTGATTAGAAATTGGGGAAAAAGAAGGGTTAGGTCTGAGTACATGAAAGAAAGATGGGTGAACAGTGTGGGAGCTTGTTTTGGAGAGAGCTAATAAGTACTGTTTTTGACATGAAGGCCTAAAGCCCTTCCTTAGCAGAATATTAGAGCTGGAAGTTAATTTGTAGCAATGTCCAAATATATGAGTAGACATGTTTTAGAGATATACTGGATTTGAAAAAAACTTGGAAATTGTCTGGATAAAAGTAATAAAAGACTTGGAGTTTTGTAATCCTGTGGAAAAGAGCAGGTACAAGTAAAGAACTAAGGTCGGTCATGAGCATTCACCTACTGAGAGGACACATGAGGTTAGGGAACTGGGGAATACTAGTGTGAAGTAGAAATACTAGTGGCATGTTTTAGAAACTAAAGACAGGACCTATACAGTGAAAAAGTTGGTAGAATTAAATACAAAGGATGAAAACTGAAATTCTTCCTAGAAGGTTCCATAGTGAACTTTACAGTTTGACAGACTGTAATGTCGTAAGTTACAGAATTTAAAAGAAAAAAAAAATTAAAGATTTAGTTTCTAGTGTAAAATTTGTATTACACATCCCTAACCTCTAAATACCACCTCTTGAAACATTATTTTTTATCACTTAACTCATTTGTAAACTCTGGGTGCTTATTAAATCGGACTCAGATTTATGAGATGAAACCAGTCCTGAGAAAATTTGTTTTCTTTTTAGATTTTGCCACATTCAGAAGTTGCTGAAGTCCATGATACAGTGAGTAACATATAATGCTGTGTTGAAGATGCTAACATCTCGTTTTCTTGATTTCAACTTGGAAGTGGATATTTTCCACTGTACTTTGTACATGATCATTATACAAAACAGCAGGTGTAGAAAAGGTCAATTTAAAGAAGTTTACATTTTTCAAAAATGTAGATTTAATCTTGGTTTTTACTATAAAAGACATATGTGGTATAGTACTGTACCATATTTAAAGAATATATGAAAAACACAACAATAAAACCCCACCAATCCTGAATGTAACCACTCTTAATATTTTGGAGGCATATTTCCCAAATTTGTATGTGTTTGTCTTATATGAAAATCTGTAAAAGTAGGCTCTTAGAATACAAACTTCTTTGTAACTTTCTTTTAAAAGCTAATATGTTTGGCAGAGGCAGGTGGATCTTTGTGAGTTCAAGGCCAGCCTGGTCTACATAGTGAGTTCCAGGCCAGCTGGGGCTACAGGGAGACCCCGTCTCAAAAAGACAAAAAAAAAAAGGCGGGGGGGGGTGGCTAATATGTAATGGATGTTTTTCAGCCAGTGGAGGGAAAATAATGACTATATAGTATTTCATTGTGTGAATATATTAGTAAATACCTGTTTAAAATAGATTACTGTTTTAGATAACTATATAGTGTTATGATGAATATCTATGGACATCTTTGTGAACATTTTGAGTGATCTCTGTAGGAATCCTAAGGAGTAGCACTGCTAGATCAGAAGTGTGTATTAGATTATTTAAAAATAGGTACCAGGGCTGGAGAGATGGCTCAGGGGTTAAGAGCACTGACCGCTTGTGCAGAGGACCCCGGTTTGCTTCCCAGCACCCACATGGTGGTACGAACTGTCCTTAACTCCGGTTCCAGGGGAATCTGAAGCCCTCTTCTGACCTCAAAAGAGGCATTGCATGACACGAGTGCACTCACATACATGCAGGCAATACACTCATACACATAAAATAAAAATAATAAATAAAGTATTTAAAAAAACTTGGTACCTAGTGGGCCAGAGCATATTCTCCAGTCAACAGTGATAAGCTCTAGTTCCCAGAACAATATTCTTTAAAATCTTTCCTGTAAAACTCAAGGATAAAATGTGAAAATTTTTATATAAGATTATGGGAATATGGGAAATTCATGCTAACTATAGAGTGGTGACTCCTGTTCTAAGAACAAGCAGCCCTCAGCTACATGAAGTTTCTTATTTCATAGCCCAAGGTAACACTGAATAGAATGCCCTTAAGATATTTTGTATAATACTTGAAGTGTGGTTTCTGGAAACAGGCTGCTGCAGGATGGCCTTTGAGAATGACTTGATTAACTGTATTGGGAAAGAAGTGCCACCAGCTATGGCCTTGCTGAATAAACTCCTTATGATTTCCCTTACACTCACCAAATGGCTTACAGTCAAGCCAGGATGTATAGAAAGGGAAGTGCTATGCGAAGCCTATGGAATAAAAGCTGTAATCTCATGGGATCATTTCTGTATTACAAGGTGCCTGTCATCTTGGTTTATCGGAGACCAAGGAATTCCTAGTTTGGAGGGCATGGTGATGAAAGCCTACCTCTTCTTTATATTTCTTAAAGTTGGCATGCTCAGTATAGATTAGGTTAGTTATATAACAAAATAAAACCATATTTCTCCATATAACACTTTTTTTTATTAGACTCAGACTAAAACTCTAGGTAATGGCTATAAGTTTTCAGACTTTTAATTAAAGTACATGAATTACTAAGTAAAAGTTTTATATAACAAATTACTGAGATGAGTTGAGATATTGTTTATGGAATAGTGGTAAACCAGATAATTTTTTAAATAGAGAAAATGTTTTGTCTTATCTTAATGGTCTTTCTCTGAACAGACTGAGAAATACCTGGGTTCTTTGAAATGTTGATGATACTTTAATACTTTAGCTAAAGCCAAAAATAGTGCAATTTTGCAGGGTGTGGTGGAGCACGCCTTTAATCCCAGCACTTGAAAAGCAGAGGCAGGTGGATCTCTGTGAGTTCAAGGTCAGCCAGGTCTACATAGTGAGTTTCAGGAAAGCTGGGGCTACAGGGAGACCCTGTCTCAAAAAGACCAAAAAAAAAAAAAAAAGTGCAATTAAAAAAAAAGTATTAATGTTCTACATTAATAATTTACATTATCTTATTTATGTTATACAACATGGCACTGTACACAGTAGACCCAGATTCTGAAAGTATAAGGATAAGAAGCTAGTGTGTGGCCCACTTGGTGATGTAGGTTACTTAGCAAAAGTGATCTGTCATCCTTGCTTGCTTATTTATACTCCACTTCCCATTAGCATAACTCACAGGCAGCTTGGGAGGGAGGATGGTTTACTGGCATCCCATTTAATGCCTCGTATTCACATCCTCTTGGAAAAGGCTTCTGAAGCGATGCTTTGTTCTCCTTGTGTTTCAGTTTTGGTTTTGGAGTGTTGTGCCTTCAGTCTTAGTTTTGTTGTCCATTATAATTTGGTTTTCTAGTGCCTTTTTTTTTTTTTTTTTTTTTTTAATCCTATGGTGTTTGTCAATCTCCAGTGACCAAAATATTCTGGTTATAAACCTAATTCACATACCATTTGTGTTTCTCCTACTGACCTGAACCTTTCCTCTGAACTCACTTTGGAGTTTTCCCTATAACCCGACTGCTCACAGCTAAATGTCATTTCCATCCCACTAGGTGCTCAATTCTGACTATTTGAAATCATCTTTATACCTCCTTCTCTCCTGTCTCCCACTTGGTCTATTTGGAAATCCTGCTGCTCTACTTTCAAAATATATTCAGAACTGAACAACTTTTCATCTCCTGCACTGCTGCCTTCTTGTTCTCCCCAGATTATTTTAGTAAATTCCTGATTATACTTCTGTTCCTAGTCTATTTTCAAAATAGCAAGCCAGAAAAATTCTGCTAAAATACAGTCAGACCATGTCAGTCCTTTTTTCAAAACCATTTATTGCTTCCCTATCTCCTTAGAAATAAAGCCAAAGTCATGAAAAGACCCATCAGAGCCCTCCACTATCTAGTATCCCTTTACCTCACTGACTTTGTAAACTTTTAGTGCTCTTTCCTTTCTCAGTGCCTTCCAACTTCTCCTGCTCTTGTACTCTTTTTCCAGGTTCTCCACACTTGCTCCCATCCCACCCTCCCACTTTTCTCTTTGTGGAATGCTTTTTGGAGTTTAAGTATGCAGTCAGCACTTTTTCTTTGTTTTACAGCCTCCGTTCTCTCTTTATTTTTAAAATTATATACAATATATTATTAGTTATTATTTTATTGTGTTCTTGTTCATTTTTCCCACTAAAACTTAAGTGCCACCCTGACAAAATTTTCTAGTTTTCTTGGTATGGGGATCAAACCAAGGGCCAGTACCAGGCACACACTCTACCACTTACCTGTATCTCTAGTCAAGGACAGGATTTTTGTCTGCTTCATTTACTGTTAGTATTCTTTGATTCCTAAAATGAATTGACCAGGTGGAATCAGACGTATAGCATAGACATGCTTAAAGGTATGGTGTTGAGATTAAGTATAATGAGATATTTGAAACAAATATCAAAAGTTACTGTATATGGTAGGAATTATTTTCTGGGAGTTAGCAGGCAATGAATAGAATTGTTCAAAAATTGACACAGTGCTACTACTAAAAAAAAAAGAAAATTGGCTGGGCGTGGTGGCGCACGCCTTTAATCCCAGCACTTGGAAGGCAGAGGCAGGTGGATCTTTGTGGGTTCAACGCCAGCCTGGTCTACATAGTGAGCTCTAGGACAGCTGGGGCTACAGGGAGACTGTTTCAAAAAAAAAAAAAAAAAAAAAAAAAATGGACAATATAAAAAACTATTCAGTGAAAATGAATTTATACTCTTTTTTCTGAATAAAAGATGAATTCTAAAACCCTCAAATATAACTGGTTTTGTAAAACAAATATTGTGTGTGTGTGTGTGTGTGTGTGTGTGTGTGTGTGTGTGTGTGTTTAGAACCACTGCCACCTTTTAGGAAGTTACTGAAGTTACTGGTAAATCCAGGGAAAACCAGTTATTCTGCCATCACAGTAAGAATTTTAAAGAAGCTATCTATGAAGCATTTTAAAAGTTGGCCTCAGTTGTCTTTGTCAGCTTCCTGGCCTCTTACAGTTTTATAGTTCATTCATTCATTCATTCATTCAAGTTGTTTTAAACAATAAGCAGTTATTGTCTCAAATTCAATAATCCAAGAGCAGTTTAGCAAGCTAACTCTGACTCAGTGGTTGTATGGTTGCACTTAAGATTAGGGAGGGGTTTCTGCTGCTACCTCCATGGAAAACCTAATTGAGTAGAACTTCCAAGTTCATTTTGTGATTGTTGGCAAACTGATAGGCCTTTCTGTAAGTCCACCTCAAGGAGGGCCATCCCAGTGAGTCGTCTGTGAGAGAGTTCTGTAAACTAATCTCAGAAGAGGTAGCCATCGCTTTTACCATATTCTCTGCATTAGATGTTAATAAGTAGAGAGCCAGGCATGTAGTATATGCCAGCAATCCAGCAGCTGAGGCAAGAGGATTAAGAGTTTCAGGCCAGCCTGAACTACATCTTGAGACTGTGTTTTAAAATAAAACAATCTCCCCATCACCACTTCCAAAAGGAAACAAAGCAAAACAAAACCAAATACAGCAGTTGCAGCAAACTGTTAGAACAAAGGAAATTGCCACCCAGGAAATGGGGATCACTGGGTGCCATTTTAGATTGTCTTTACAAATATTTTATGTGTATGAGTGTATTGCCTGCATGTATGTAAGTGCACCCGTGTCTTGCAGTGCCTGCAGAGGCCAGAAGAGGGCGTCGGATCCCCTGGAATTAGAGTTATAGACAGTTGTTATCTGCCTTGTGAGTGCTGGGACTCAAACCTGGGTCCTCTGAGCGAGCAGCCAGTGTTCTTATGCTGGGCCATCTCTCCAGCCCCATTTTTTATTTTTATAACTGTATTTTTAACTATTGTATATGTGTATGTCTGTGTGGTGGTGTGTGCACAGGAGTGTAGGTGCCTGCAGAGGCCAGAGAGGGTTGTGGATCTGCTGGAGCAGAAATTACAGACCTTTGTGAGCTGTCTGATGGTGCTGGCAACTGAATTCAGATTCTATGGAAAAACAGCAAGTGTTCTTAACTGCTGAGCCATCACTTCTGCCCCTATTCACAAATACTTTAATCTTTTATCTCCTTTTCTCTTCCCTCAAGCTTCCAAGTTGTAATAAGGATTTGAGCACAGTGATTTCATTATCTACAGAGCTATAGTCTGGAAAACTGAAATTGGTTCACAAAAGAATAATCTTAAATTGGCATCTGTGGAAAAATGAACAAAACAAATAACCTTTAAGACTTTGAAACATGATTTCCAGAATTGCTCAGTAGCCATCAGTTCAGGAAAGTGACAAGGAGGAGGCCTTCTCCAAGATGACTGAAGCCCAAAGCAACTTACCTTTTGTCACAGCCAACTACAGTCTGACCACTGTGCTTAAAAAAGACCCAGAAGCAGTGTAATCAGTGGAAATGTTTTGGTTTTGTTGTTGCTTTACTATGTGAAGTGAAGGAGAGCTGAGAACTCTGACCAAGGCAACATAGAGTGGTGACGTTGTAGGTTCAGAGAGTTTGTAGATTGACGTATTTTAAAGTTAAATTGAGTCTTCTGCTTGATAGAATAGAATATAGAGGCTGAAGCAGGAAGAGTGAGTTTGAGGGCGGCGTGGGCTACGTAGTGAGACCATGATGGGAGGGAGGGTGATGAGTGTATCTTCTAACTTTCTTAGACTAGTAGCTTCAGATAATAGTCATTAAAAATGTTCTGTTTTGTTGGTATCTCTTAGAAGCTCTGCTTCTTGCACAATAGTTGGCATATGATAAACACTCAATGCATGTTTGCTTTTTTGTACAAAAACAATCTCTATAATGAGTGCTTTGATGGCATGTAGAACTAATATTTAGTAGTGTATGAGTGTTATATAGTTTTAAACTGCTTTAAATTAATTCAAAGGGATGAGTAACTTTTAGTGCTCTTACATTTCTAAGTAATTTTTACCCTTCCTAATCCCTATCTTGCATTATAATTGAAAGTAACTTTTAGGTTGAGTAATTGCAAAACAAAGTACTTTAGTGATTCTGTTTCCTCTTCTTTTCTCACAATTAGAATACATACTTGGTATTGATATTGCCTAAGCCAAGATTGTTTGGGTCTGTAAAGGGACATGTCTTATAAAGCATGGTGATTAAGATGAATGTGCATGTGCTTCTTACTCATACACTAACGCTGTTTTCCTTGTCCTTTTGTCTCACTGCTGCTTCCAACCCGGGGTGTTTGCTTCTTCCTGATTGGATTGTGTTTATTTGCTGCTCAATTCCTCTGCATTAAAAGCTTCTTGGTGATAGCAAAGATGTCCTTGGGCCATCAAGTAAGTAGCTACAGTTGGACTGTCATGTTTGGGGGGCATGATGATATTTTAGTGTTACTTTTAAGTGACAAATAGTATTTTTTTTTTTTTTCGGTATTTTTGAGACAGGGTCTTCCTGTAGCCCCAGCTGACCTGGAACTCATTATGTAGACCAGGCTGGCCTTGAACTCAACAGAGATTCGCCTTCCTCTGCCTCTAGCATGCTGTGATTAAAGGTGTGCACTACCATGCCCAGTGACAAATAGTATTTCAATTTTGATTCAGTCTTCTACTTTTCTTTCAAGGTATTGCAATACAAAGTAGAGATTAGAAATGGTCAATGCCCAGGGCCTGTCTGTTGCCATTGTCCATTAAAATCCATAGACAGTATCTGTACTTGCATCTTGATTACCTAGAGAATGCTTCATTCACTTAACTGTCTAATTCATGATATGGGACCTCAATAGTCTTTTAGCTTGCAGAATTTTATATAATAGATAATTTGATTATGGATTTTTTTATATTTGTGGGGTTTTAAGAAAGCATGTTTTACCTTAGAGAGTTAGAAGATTACCCTTTAAAATAAAATTATATCCAGTTCACCGTAACAAATTTTCCTGAGGTATTTTGGTTTTGGTTTTTGTTTGAGGGATAGAGCCAGACATTTTGGTAGCTTTTGAGTAAGCACAATGAATAAAACATGTCACCTCAGGATTTTTATAGTCCAGTTGGACAGTGACAGGGGCCATTTTTATATTAAAAAATCATAGAATCACTGAACTGAAAGGAATTTCACAGATCAGTTAGTAAAATACTAATTTTATAAATGAGGAGTCTGAAAGCTAAAAGCTTAAATATCCAAGAAGGTAGAAGTGACTATTAGCCCACTCCCCACTGCTCTACTGATACTAAACAATGAGAAGAAGCTATTGTTGGTTGAATTCAGGTCTAACTAAATAATTAAATTTTAAAAACATTTCAATTTTTTATGTGTTTGAGTGTATTGCCTGCATACATGTAAATGTACCCGTGTCATGCAGTGCCCAAGGAAGTCAAAAGAGGGCGTCGGATCCCCTGGAATTGGAGTTACAAACAGTTGTTAACTGCCATGTGGGTGCTGGGAATCAAACTTGGCTCTTCTGCAAGGGCAGCCGGTGCATTCATTCATTCATTCATTCATTCACTTATTTATTTATTTATTTATTTATTTATTTATTTATTTATTGACAGGGTCTCTCTGTAGCCCCAGCTGTCCTGGAACTCACTTTGTAGACCAGGCTGGCCTCAAACTCACAAAGATCCACCTGCCTCTGCCTCCCAAGTGCTGGGTTTAAAGGCTCCCAAGTGCTGGGTTTAAAGGCGTGTGCCACCACACCCGGCTTACTAGCCAGTGCTTTTAACTGCTGAGCCATATCTCCAGCCCCAATAATTAAAATTTTACTGCATCATAAATTGGGCACAGATTTTGATTTTGTTGAATAGCAACATAGGAAACTGATTTAGGAAGTTATATTTTTCTGTAATAATCGCCTCAATATTGAAAACCTTCTCTGTTATGAGGCTCATTCTTTTCAGGGCTCAAAGAAAGGGACTGAGCATGAAAATGCCAGTAGTTTCTCCTAGTTAACAAGATTTCTTTTTTTGGTCTAAAGAGAGGGTGCTAAGGGGCATGAATATGATAATATATATTATGCCATAATGAAACCCATTATTTCCTACAAGTAATATTTCTAATAAAAAACTAATATATAATTCTTTGGTGTAAGTTAGTTTCTGATTTTTTTCTAATACTGGTTAGAATATGTATTTAATTTTTTAATATAAAGGTAATTTAAAGTAGTATGCTAAGCTTTAGATTTTCTAATTACAATGGTTCACAGTATTTAAAATATGTTCCTCATTTTGTATCGTATTATTATCAGGATAGTAGGAAATTTAAAAGTGGCAGAATGTGAATCTCAAGGGGAGTCAGGTTTACATGCAGATTATTTAGGATTTAAAAAAAAATCTGTATTATCTTGGCTTCCTCTTAGTTTAGGGGTAAAACCAGACTTTGTAAAATTGTTAAAATATTTATACTGATCAAGAGATAAAGAAGGTGATAAACTCATATTCTCCTTAGAAGATTCACCTGATTTATTAAGTATAGTATTAATTATTCCAATGTGATTTATACTAAGAAAAGTAATGTGAGCTGCGAAGTAGACTACTTGTACGATAAGTAGAACCAGCAGAGGGCACTATAATGTCAGCTTTAGCAGGCAAATCACTTGTGTCAGTGAATCATTTGACAAATATCTTTTCATTTATTTAGCAATTATTTATCAATAGTGTCAATGGATACAGACAAAAACAAAGTCGGTGTCTTTCTTAAACTTCCATTCAGATGCTCCACTATTGTGTAAATCCTGTAGGGCACTGGAGTGATTTGTAGGGGGATGAGGATTTTCCTTTATCTGTAAATAGTCAATGTTTGTGAATCAAATGAGACAAAGTAAGTAGAAAAATGGACATTCTGTCTTGCTGTGAAGAGATATACTCTGTGCATTGGTGTTTCTATGTATTTCTCATTTCAAGGGTATCAAAAGTTACACATTATCATTTAAATTTAGAAGAGATTATTAGAGAGGGAGAGTGGTAGTGCAAACCTGTCATCCCAGCACCAGGGAGGCAGGTAGCACGCAGGGGGATGGTGAGTTTTCATACTATTTTAGGCTCTGTAGTGAGACCCTGTTTCCAAAAATCACATATACAATGGATTAGAAAGAGGAAAGCAGAACTGTTTCCTTGTTTATATAGTGGACTTATTTAAGACAAAACATTATGTCTTATTGATTACCAAAGCATTAATTCCGTTCCATGCTTCTATCCCTATATCTGTCCCCAGTGGTGGTAACTAGGTTGTATTTTTCTGTTTTTTTTTTTTAAACCTTTTAAAAGTGTTGTCTTGCAGTATTTTAAATTATATATGTATTCCTTTTTTTAATTAATCAATTTTTGGTGTGTATATGCTAGGACCCATGCATGCCATGACAGTTTGGAGGAGTGGGCTCTCTCCTTTCACTGTGTGGGTCCCTGGGATCAAACTTGGGTCATCAGGCTTAGTGGCAGTGCCTTTACCCATTGAGCTATCTCATCAGCCCGTTCCCCTAAGTTTTAACTTGTTTTTAAATTTTTTACTTTTTTCTGGTTCCAGGGCCTCTTATGAATGCTAGGCAAATGCCCTGCCAATCCTGTACTTTAAGAGATGTGTATTATAGTACATGTAATCTTTTATGAACTTGTTTTTTGTAGGTGATGTATTTCTATGATTCAGCCATGCTGACTGATAGAGAAATACATCATTCCTTTTTCAATGCCTTGTACTAGTCTGTCATATGCATGTGCCACAATGTATTAATCATTTTATTTTTAATTGAAGAGTATTTAAGTTTTTCTGTTATGAACAGTGTTCCATGAGCATTCTTACTCTTGTCTCTTAGTATACACATGTAAGAGGTTTTTTTGGCATAAAAGAAAAATTATGTTGGATTCATAGGGTATGTGCTAGTTCAAAATTGTTTTCCAAAGTGCTTATATCAATTGATATTTCACCAGCAGTGCCCAAAACCTTGATGATCCTATCCTGAGTGTGCTTTGATATTATCAAATTTATTACTTCCTGTCAGTTCTACTGAGTGTTCTACCCCATTGCGGTATTGATTCCTACTTCCCTGATTATTAAGAAGAATGAATATCCTTTTTAAAAAATTTTTTATTTATTATTTTTATTTTATGTGTATGAATGTATTGCCTGCATGTATGTGAGTGCACCCACGGGGTGCAATACCGCAGAAATCAGAAGAGGGCTTCTGATTCCCCTGGAACTGGAGTTAAGCATGGTTTGTAGCTGCCATGTGGGTGCTGGGAATCAAACCTGAGTCCTCTGCAAGAGCAGTCAGTCCTCTTAACTGCTGAGCCATCTCTCCAGCCCCAAGAATATTCTTTTATATACTTACTGGATACTAACATTTCTTCTGTGAAATACTGTTCAACTCTTTCCCTCACTTTTCTATGATGTTGTTGATCTTTTCTAATTGATTTATAGGCATTATGTAATTTAAAACATTTTGTATACAGCCTTTTATTAATAATATGGGCTGTGAATATATTGTGTTCAGTGCTTTTTTCAGATTCATTATGGAATCATGACTAAGTTCATAATCTTAGTAGCATTTAATTTTTCTGTTAATGCTTTGTTATCCCATGTCTATAGAAATAGTCTCTTATATTCTAATAAAGCTTTGTTTTTTCATTTGTTCCTTTAATTTTCTTGGAACTATTCTTCTGGTATGATACAAGAAAGGAATGGAATCTGTTTGTTCAGTGGGGAGAGCTGGTTGTCCTAGTGTCATTCAGTAGTCTTTCTTTTCCCCACCTCTATTGACTATCTGGGTTAAACATGTAGAGGGGTCTGTTGTTTTTCTGGGATGTTCTTTAAATCATTTTGCATTCTGTGCATTAGTACTTTCATTTTAAATCTCAGTAATTGTTTTTAGCAATCAAATGAATTTTAGATTTAGTGACTGAAGGAGTCAAAATACATACTTTATAGAAATGAAGCCTCATAAGAACGTAAAGTTAGTTGGTTGATATATTTAGTGTAATTTTATCAAATACCTTTAGTATATTAGGAAGTGATGCCTTCAATATGCCAGGAAGCAGATCAGAAATAAGAATTTATGGAAAAATAAGGCAGATAAAACCCTTTTCTCTCATGGAATTTAAGTTCTAACAGAGGAAACTAGACGATAGTTAAATAGTGTGATTTTTTTTTTTTTCCTAGAGAGTGATATGAGCTATGATGAAGGTCATGTAACATGAGATAAACAGATTGTAACTATGGCGTGGTGGGCACTAACCACATCCAGATTGACAAATTGTGCTATATTAAAATGAAGAACCTATTTATAACAAAAAAGCACAGTGAAGAAACCAAAGGTCTTTTCCAAAGAGATAGCTTTTGAGCACAGACAGCAAGTGAAGATCCTGACTGAGAGTATTCCAGATAGAAGAAACAAGAAGCAGGCCCCTTGGACTTATAGAGATAGCTCAGGAGAAGCACACTTCTTGTTCTTCCAGAGGACCAGAGTTTGTTTCCTATCACCTACATTGGCTGACTCACCACCACCTCTGATTCCAGTTCTAGGGTATCTTACACCATCTTCTGGCCTCTGAGGTGCCCCCGGCCATGGTGTATACATATACATAAAAACAAAAATAATAATTATTTTAAAGAGGGAAAGATATGGACCCCAAGAATTGCAAGATGGCATTTTTGGGAGTACTAAGTTGGCCATTATCACTGAACTGTGTTGAATGGGAGGAGAGTGGTAATGGGTGATATTGGAAAGATATACAGGTGCCAGACCCTTTAATTCACAAGCAGTGGATTTATTGTAAGGATGGAAAACAAGCCTCTTCCTTTCCTCCTTTCCTTTCCCTCTTCCTTTTTTACCTGTACTGGGGATTAAATCCAGGGCCTTGTACATGCTAGGCAACCATTGAACTACATCCAAGCTATTGATTGGTTGATTGATTGATTGATTGATTGATTGATTGACTGCCCGCCTGACTGACAGACTGATTGACTGATTGATTGAAATGGTTTCACTAAGTTGCCCAGGTTGGCCTTGAATTCATTCTATAACCCAGTGAGGTCTGGCACTTTCCTCTTACCTTAGCCTCCTGAAGAGCTAGGATTCTAGGTCTGTACTACCAGATTCTGCCTAGAATAGAAAGCTGTTGAGAATATTTCTGCATGATATGCATCTAATTTATCTCAAAGGATAATGATTATTCAGACCTCTGTGTGGAAAATGAACTTCATACAGCAAAAGGCAACACAGTGGGCCAATAAAAAGGTCGTAGTGGCTTGGCTTAGGTTAGGAGTTATGGAAGTAGGAAAATGTCATAGTGTTCCAGATAAAGATTGAATGAGTGTCTAAAGATTTCACAGGTAACTAGATGTGAAGTGTGAGAGAAAGGAAAATTTTAAAAAGTCTGTTTTTTGCCCTGGGGACGTGGGAAGAGCAGTGATTTCCACTAGCTGAGCTGGAGGAGAGGCAGGTGTCAGGAGAAGCAGAACGGAGGTTGTGCTCTGGGACAATCTGAGATGCCTGTGATGGAAGCCATGAGTAAGACAGGCTGAATCTGGATTTGGGAATTTTAGTTTGAGGAGATAAGCCGGAGATGAAAGTTTAGGAGCCATCATTCCATAGATTTTTATTTCTGTTGACTTGATGGTAAACACTTTTTTATACCTGTATTTGGATGATAAATAAAAGTATTTTATATTTTGATTTTGAAATATAAGGAGCTCAAATATAATTTTGAAAACGTTAACACAGTTGGAAATGTGTGAAAGCAATTTATTTTTAAAAAGATAGTGTGATGGGAGCTGGAGAGATGGTTTAGCAGTTAAGAGCACTTGTTTCTCTTGCAAGAAAACCTGGGCCTGAATCCCAGTACCCACATGATTGCTAACAACTGACTGTCTAATTCCAGGGGATCTGATGCCCTTTTCTGTCCTTTGTGGGCATTGCATGACACAGGTGCACTTATATACATGCAGGCAGTACGTTCATACACATAATTTTTAATTTAAAAGAGTGATAGAAATGTCAATGAGACGTTCTAGTTAAACTGACCAATTAAGATAAGTGAAGACCAAATCATTTATTTTTAAGATGAAGATGGGGCTAGAGTGATGGCTCAGTGGTTAAGAGCATTGACTGCTCTTGCAGAAGACTCAGGTTTGATTCCCAGCACCCACATGGCGGCTACGAACTGTCCTTAACTCCAGTTCTAGGGGAATCTGAAACCCTCTTCTGACCTCTGCAGTATTGCATGACATGGGTGCACTTATATACATGCAGGCACTACAGTCATAAAATAAAAATAATAAATAAAATATAAAAAAAAACCCATGAAGCTAAACCATTTGAAAGCCCAGAAACATGAGAGAATGTGGCGATTAGAGGGCCTGTGAATGTGACTTGCCCCTTTGCGCATTACTTCCATCTTTTTATGTCACTCCTTTGTGTTGGTGTAGCCACATGGGTGAGAAACAGTGAGCAGTCCTCTACAGACTGATAATTGGACAGCGAGTGTAATTTTACCATCTTTGAAACAAAAAAAGAAACTAGAATAGAAATTCTACTGAGTGTATTTTCTTCTGCTAATAATTTGTAATTTTTTTGATTAGTGAAGCTGCACATCTTACCTTGTACTTTTTGGCAATTTGCATTTCATCTGTGAAATGACTTTTTCTATTGCCTGTTGTATTGGCAAGTATAAAGAGTCCAGGTAAGCACTATGAAAGATGCAGAGTGAAGTGTATGAGCCTTGCATTATTAATTGGATATATAATTTATTTTTACCATGTCTGTCATGTGTATATATATATATATATGTGTATGTGTGTGTGTGTGTGTGTGTAAGTGAGGCTTCCCTATCAGTTCTCTTGGACTTACAGTGCACAAACATATCAAAATGATTTTGCAGTTTGTTAAAGTATTGAGTTGAGCTGGGCATGATGGCTCATGCCTTTATTTCCAGCACTTGGGAGGCAGAGGCAGGCGGATCTCTGTGAGTTCAAGGCCAGCCTGGTTTACATAGTGAGTTCCAGGTCAGCTGGGGCTACAGGGAGACCCTGTCTCAAAAAAGACCAAAACAAACAAATGAATAAATAAATAAATTAATTAATTAAATTAATAAATAAGTATTTTGTTGAATACAATGTCTTAGGCAATTTCAACCAGTTTTATGTCACATAAAACCTGTGACCTTAATGCTAATTCTTTTCCCTTTTTTCCCCTTAAGCTGTTGTAGCAAACAGTGACGAATCTCAGCTTCTGACACCAGGAAAGATGAGTCAGCGCCAAGGGAAAGAAGCTTATCCAACACCAACTAAAGATCTGCACCCACCGACTCTTAGTCCATCCAGCCCTCACAGTCAGGGTAAGAAGTCACAGGTTTCGAGTTTTTGTTTGTTTGTTTGAAACATTGCTTGTTTGTTTGTTTGTTTGTTTGTTTGTTTGTATGAGGGGTCTACCATAGTATTTGGGTCTACCATAGTCTGTTTCCACTTTGTTTTATGCTGATTTGTTTTTGCTTGGTCTATTTGCAGTGCTCTTAGAATCAGTATACTTTCCTTTATTATAGTCCTTTGATTTCTCTTAGACACCAGCATAGTTTGTTAGTTTTTTCATTCTTCTAAATCAGTGATTCTCTCACTCTTTGGCATTATGGCCCCTTTATACTCATAAAAATCATTGAAAATCTCAAAATAGTTCTGGTTATCTCAATTGTATCTGTTGATATTTGCTGTAATATTAATTAACCCTAAGAAATTAGAAAATGTGTATTAATTGATTTAAAATATAAAGACTTGTGGCTGGAGAGATGGCTCAGCTGTTAAGAGCACTGACTGCTTTTGCAGAGGACCCGGGTCCAATTCCCAGCACCCACGTCCTCAATTCCCGTTCCAGGGGAATCCAGTGACTCCCTCTACTGACCTCCATGGCATTGCGTGACATGGGTGCACTCACATACATGCAGGCAATACAAAATATGTATAAAGACTTATGAATGACACTTTTATCACAATCTCATGTACTTTTGTGTTTGAAACTTCCAATAGCCTCTATTAGCTATTTTGTGATATACAGTTAATTATTGTCAACCGTAGTCATCCTACTATGTCATAGAACATTTAAAGTTATTCCTTGTTGCTGGGCACAGAAGTGTACACTGTAGTGCCAAAAATCAGGGTCTAGAGGCAAGAGGAACAGGATTTCAGGGCCAGGCTGGCTACATAGTTTCCACATCTGTTTCTAAATCCTGTCTCCACAAAACGGGGGAGTAATTTTATACACTTGTACTGCTGTAACTGTTAACCATTCTCTCTCCATCCTCCATACCTCCTCTTTCCAGCCCTTGGTACCCACTATTTTACATTCTAGTTTTATGAGATCAGTTGTTTTAGCTTCCAAACCACTGGTGCTTGATTTCCATGCCTGTTATTTCACTTAATATAGTACCTTCAATTCCTTTCCTATTGCTACAAGTGATTCAGGTTTTTATGGACGAATAATATTGCATTGTGTGGGGCTGGAGAGATGGGTAATTGGGCAGAGCACTGGCTACCCTAGCAGAGGACCCAAGCACGTGTTTCTAATCTCTATATATCTGATTATTACTAGTCACAGTCGGTTACTTTCTGAGCTCCTTGGCATCTGAGCATGCATATAAAGTCCATCACGTAGATTTCAATGGTAATGTTTTTCACATCTACTAATTATTAAGGAGCAAATTTTTACGCTTTGAAGAATTATTATTTTTATCATTTAAAAAAAATTTAATAACTACATGATTAGAAGCATTTCACTACAGCTTTAACATATTCAGTAACACACTCCAGAACAAGAGTACATCTCTTTCACAAGTGGGTGCAAGTTTCTAGGTTCACAGTTGAATTAATACAGTTATACAATACTAAACTCAGTATAAGCCCTACAGGACATAAAATTGAATGAGTTTTTAACCTTTAAAAAAGATTTCCATTTCATTTCAGAATATATTGTTCCTTGCAGAAAGACTCATTGTTTTCGCTACTAACACTGAGATGTTGGTGCATACATCTCTAATCTGTATGTATCTGATTATTACTAGTCATAATTGGTTGCACTTGGATCCTTGGCACATGTGTATTTCTATAGTCATTGAGTAGATTTCAGTGGTAATGTTTATTACCTCTACTAATTGGCATGATGAAAATTTCCATGCTTCCCCTCAAATATAATACATTTTTAAAAAATATAATACATTTTAAAAAATTTGCTGATTTTTTTTGTGTGTGTGCATCACACAGAACATCCCAAACCATCTTATTCAAATATATACCCACTTCCCACATGGCACCCTCCCATAGCCTCCTTCCCCCTACTAGAAGCTTTGTACTCTGATATCCCTGCTACTGTCTGCCTTGTTGTCAGCACCCCCAGCCATTCCCCACTACTTGCCCTTCTGGTGAATCTAGTCAGCCTATCTAGAGGTCTTTATTTTAGGAGGGTCTGCTGTTCATTTTCCCAGTTCTATCTGGAAGTCCCTTTGGCCACCCTGGCCAACAACTCTAAAGAAGGTATCTCCTATCTGGCATTGTTGCTTGTTATGTAGCCTTTAGCTGTGCATATGGACTCTTAGGAAATTATATTGGCCCATTTAATCTTTGGTTATACTTTCCTTTTGGGTGTTTAAGGCCATAGAGTTGGCCCAGATAAACCAATTTATTTTTACTCTCAAGGTCATTTGAGGATCTGTTCCTCAGGGGTCACATGGGCTTGGGAGGAGT